AACGGGGCTCTGGTGAAGTTGCGACAGGCCTGGCAAGCCGGCAATGGATTTTTTACCGCTACAAAAATCAAAATGAGATATAAACTGACTGATCAAACGGTATCTGACCATGGCAATGTTAAGGGACTACGAGACAGAACAGCGAAATACAAGATTGCAACACTTAACACCGCTGGCCTGTGAAATAAAACAGAAGAGATTATTGAAATGATGGAAAAAAGGAAAATCAAGTTAATGGGGCTAGCTGACATAAGACGCAAGGGAAATGTTAATAACAAAATACACAGAGGCTACTTACTAACATATGCAGGAGGAGAAACATCGAAGAATGGAGTGGGTTTCCTGGTACATCCGGACATATCTAATTACATATTAGACATACATTATCACTCAGATAGAATTATTACTTTGAAAATTAAAAGAGGAGAACAAGCTGAAACATATATACAGATATATGCACCATGCAATGATAATTATACAGAAGAGCAGAAAGATGAATTCTTTGACGATCTGTCTGGTGAGATAAAGAAAGTTGAGGGAAGCAGCATACTATATGTAATGGGTGACTTCAACGGGAGGGTAGGAAATAACAGAAAAGAATACTAACAGTTTTTAGGTCCATATGCAGCTAAGAACAGTGCTAGAAATGGAAATGGTCAAAGAATATTGGATCTATGCAGCCAGCACAATCTTTTTATTACGAACACATTCTTTGACCATAGAGATTCACAACTTTACACTTGGTACAAATGGAATGATATCTCCATCAAGAGCCAGATTGACTTTATACTTACCAGAGTTCAAGGAAGAAGGAGAATTCTTGATTCAAGAGCAATCCCTAATGGTCTATGTGACACTGACCATAAAATAGTTGTGTTAACAGCAAAACATCTTACATTAAAGAAACACAGAAAGAAATTAACCAAAAAACAAGGATCTCATCAAGATAGCAAATCTGAAACAGGAAGGAGTAAAAGAACAGTTACAACAGAAAGTAGAGACAGCATTCAAACAACTTCCACATGTAGTTGGCAATATTGAGGAAGAATGGAGTATATATAAAAACACTATGCTTAGTATTGCAGAAGAATTATGTGGAAAACGGAAGAGTGGAAACAGACGGGGAAACAACAAATATTCACCTTGGTGGTGCGAAGAAGTAAAAGAAGCAATTAAAAAGAAAAGAGACTTATATAAACAGTGGATAAAATCAAAGAAAGAAGAAGATTATATAAACTATAGACTGCAAAGAAGAGAAACCAACAGGAGTGTCAAGAAAGCAAAACAAGCATCCTGGGAACGTTTCGGTGAGTCACTAGCAGAAAATGAGAAAAATTTTTCAAAGTGGTTAAAAATATGCGGAAAAGAGATGAGAGCTACAACCCCACTGAAATAATTAATGATAAGTTAGGAAGACCATTGATAGATCCACTTGAGATAGCAGAAAGATGGAGGGAATACTTCAATGAGCTCTTTAATCCTCTAGGAGATCATCAGGAAAGAACAACTGAAGAGCACAGAGCAACAGTGTTAGAACCACACATACTAATGGATGAAATAGAAAAAGTCATTAAACAGTCTCCCAAATATAAAGCACCAGGAGCTGATAGATTACCAACAGAAATAATTCAAGCAGCAGGTGAAAGCAGCATCATATGGCTTCACAGAATATTCAATGCAGCATGGGTACAACAAACGGCCCCTATTGATTGGCAACATGCAATAGTTATACAATTGTGGAAGAACAAAGGAAGCAAACGAGAATGCGGTCAATATCGAGGCATCTCTCTTTTAAGCCATGTTGGCAAAATGTATGCCAAGATAATAGAAACAAGACTGAGACCAGTGAAAGAACCACAGCTGGCAGAAGAACAGATGGGATTTAGGAGAAATAGAAGCTGCACAGATGCAATCTTCACACTTAAACAGTTAATAGAAAAGAACATTTAATACAATAAGAACTTATTTGTGGCATTCGTAGACCAGGAGAAGGCATTTGACAGAGTCGACAGACAATTATTATGGAAAATAATGGCAAGATATGGAGTAAGCGAACACCTCATCGAAGTGTGCAAAAGTTTATACAGGGATTGTAGAAGTGCAGTTAGAATAAATCAGGGAACATCTCATCCTTTCACAGTGACATCTGGAGTAAGACAGGGGTGTGTCTGATCACCACTGTTGTTTATCACCTACATCGACAGTATATGCAAGAATGCCAAGCCCATGAATGAAGATCTTAGTAAGATCAACGAATTACTCTTTGCAGATGACCAGGCCTTGATAGCAGACACAGCCATGAAATTGCAACAACATCTAACATCCATGAATGAAGAATGTAAAACAAATAATATGAGAATCAACACTGAAAAGACAGAAGTAATGTCAATAGGAAAAAAGAAGACAGATCTAAACATAGCAATAGAATACAAAGGCATTAAACAGGCATCTGAGTTTAAATATCTGGGAACTACATTTACCGAAGATGGGAAATTGGATAAAGAAATTGACTTTAGATGCAGTAAAGCAAACCAAGTATTGGGACAGCTAGCCCCCCTCTTACAGCATAAGACAATCCCAATCAGCACAAAGAGACATCTTATTCAAAGCAAATTTATTCCAACTCTGTGCTACCAGTGCCAAACATGGTCACTCACAACAAACCATAAAAGAAAATTAGTAACCACGGAAATGAGATGTCTGAGAAGGGCTGTAGGAGTGACCATAAGAGATAAAATCAGGAATGAGATCATAAGAGAACAAGTCGGCACAGAACCAATTCTGCATTACATACAAAGACAGCAAGTGAAATGGTTTGCCCACTTAGAGAGAATGCCTTGTGACACCATACCATACAAAGCATACATGGAAAGAGAAGAAGGACGTAGAACACGGGGAGGACCAAGAACAAGATGGAAGGATAACATCAGAGAAACTCTACAACAGCACGATGTGCCTATGGTCGAGGCAGCCAGAAGAGCTAGAAACAGAACCTTATATCTCCCTCGACACCCACAGCGGTAAAAGAGGAAGTGAAGAAGAAGAAGAAGAAGATGCAAGATTTCTAAAAAGTATCAAAACAGCGGATGTGATACTAAAAGTAGAGTTTTCCTCTGCAATGTTTGATTTATAAAAAATGTGTAAGAAAGTACTAACTTCGGCAGCCCTGCCTGAATTAGCTGGCGCGACGGTTGTCAAACTTTTTCGTGTCACCACATCATTTTACTGAAGTAAAATAATGCAAAACCCCAAACATTAAAATAGTCTTTTACTAAGGTAAACAAAAGCGCATCGAAAATAGACGTTCAGTAAAAAAAAAAAAAAAAAAAATTACAAATACTGTTATGTTTCGACATGTTTAATGACAAGATTAACATTTTGAGGACTGCCCGTATTCTGAAAACAAATCTCAGTGCGGGACGGGATGACCTGATTATTATTATTTTTCTCTCAATTTAAAATATGCGTAGCTGATCAGTGCCCGCTGACTGCACAAACATTATTCTGGGTCCCGACCCATAGGTTGAGAACCACTGAATTGAAAATGCACTGGCAATGTTGATATAAGCAACTGTACGGACTAGACTAGATAATGATGAGTCTGTCTCTAGCGCTAAACCAACAGCATGACATGGGAGTAATACCTTATGAAGCATGTAGCAGACGTCAGTGGAGAAAACTTTATATGCAACTTTGTCTTGGAACAGTCATTTGAGATACCTTCTGAGGGCTGCTGCATTTGAGGAATGAGCAGGCATGGGAATGCCTAATGTGCAGTAATATCGTAATAACATAACCTGACAGCAGCACAGCATTACTCAGCCCATGGGCGACGGAACCTGGGGTTTAGGCAACCAGCACCCTAAAAGTGTGAAAGATCTTCCCTCCCCTCACCACGATAGAAGTTTTTGTGTGTGTAAAACTTTGATTAACCGTCATTCGTTTAACTGAAAGTTTCTGTTATCCGTCATTGTCAGTTTCTGTTGTCCGTCACTGACTGGAAAAAAAAACTGCGTGAGTATAAACTAACAGACACGAATTTTAAAGTAATGTATGTTTATAGTATTACAATACATTTCTGTACATTACTACTCTTAAACTGAAGATGTAACTGATCTGTTTGTAAAATTAGGTAAAATATGTATGTGCTAACCCACTTTAAATGGATTTCATTTCCCCTTTCAACCCTGTACAAATGTATTAAAGATTTACGTTATCTGTCTTTTCGGTTATCCCTCACAAGCCTGGTTCGGTCGCTGGCGGTTAAGCTTGCCTGTACCAAATGATGTCAACTATATATTCTTTTTATTTCATTTGCCATTCAACAAAATATTAGGTGCTTTCCTTTTAGGCGACCACAAATGAAATCACGGGACAGTCCAGTATTTTAGAGGGTGATGAGGGCTGGTTTTCCGTGTTTTCTGTGCTTTAGTGCGTCTCTTCAAATGCCAAGTTTTCACGCGTTTACCAAACTCTAATCCTAACGCTAACCCTAACCCTAACCCTAATCCTAACGCTAACCCTAACCAAAACTATACGCTTAATCTACCATCCCCGAAATATTGACTGTCTCGTGACTTGTGGATTTCCCTTTTTTGTGGTCAGCTAATAAGAGAATACCAATTATTATTATAAATTACTCAAGCAAGGCTTATGTCCCTCACCCCTAGAAAATGTTTAAGGCAACTGAGGAGCCCTCCTCCCCACCCCTCTTTCCCACCACCCTCTCCTCAATTTATCGTTGTGTTGAAGCCCCTGAGATAGCCCATTTTTTACACCAGCGGCTCTCAACCTTCCTAATTCCGCGACCCTTTAATACAGTTCTCCCATGTTGAGGCGACCTCCAAACAACTATTTTGCTTCATAACTTCAACGAATATGTATTTTCCGATGGTCTTTGGTAACTCTTATCAAAAGGTCGTTCGACCTTCACAAAAACGGGCGCGACTGGCAGATTGAGAACCGTTTATCTACACTGGCGACAGAAGTGTGTTACCTACCACAGAATGAGATTGTTGCCAGCATGGATCTCTCCAGGGGCGGCGCCCAATGACGCCATATGCCGTGGCACGCAGGATAAGTCACTCCCTGAAAATCAAATTAATGAAGGCAGTGGATACACTGAGGGTACATGTCATATGATATTACACGAGCAACAATATTGACCTTATCGATAATTTAATAAAGACCATGGTAAGCAAATAACTGCAGATGACGTACACGCGAGACAATTGAATTTGAAGGAAAGTTGGTTGAATGATAATTACCTGAAATATAAATAAACACTGAAGTTGTATAATATAAATTTGGCCAGCGTGGCTCAGTTGTCTGCTAATCTAGAAATCATTCCTCAACAGAGCTGTAAAAACTAAGTAAAGGACCCTTTTCCACGCCTCTTAGGCGAATTAGGTATACAGGGAAAGACATATATGTTATAGACTAATCGGCACTATGTGGGTAACATTGTCAACATTAACGCGGCCGTCTTTATTTCCCATGACTTTACCTGGTAACTATTTAAGGTCTATCTGGCAGCCAAGGCAATTAAAAGAAAAGACACACACAAAAAACAGGTTCTGTTAGGACCTGAACCATGACCTTCAGATCCTTAGGCAAGCGTCTAACCGCCACACGCGATGATGAAGATATTGAGGCTATCCTCCGAATAAAGGGCACACAAGATGGCGGCCGCCAAAACACTCTAACAGAGCCTCACACATGTCAATTGCGCACTTCCAGCGACTAAATTTGCGGTTTTCCGGCGACTACCGCCACCACCGAGAGTATCCCTCACGCCGCTCACGGGACTCATGAGCAGCAGCTTCTGCATCTCCTGCAGCTTTGCTCGTGAGTCCTAGCCATCTAGTTTAGCACCAATCCACGCCGCGTGAGCGGCGTCAGGGATACTCTTGGCGGTGGCGGTAGTCGCAGGAAAACAGCAAATGAGGTCACCAGAAGTGCGTAATTGACACGTGACTGAGGCCCTGTTTTTGGCTGCCATTGGCCGCCATCTTTTGTGCCCGTCTTTCGGAGGATAGCCGATATTGATATATTAAGTGACAACAAAATACTAACCTCGACCAATCCTTGCAGAATCCTGACAGATATGACAAGCCCATAATGCACTTCGGCAGCGCCCGGCAAGAGCAAATTGAGGCACGCCGACAAACCAATGGCCATACCAAACAACCTGCGGATAGAAAACAAATTCCGGTATTTCGAGAGATTATAGTAATTTGTTGACAGATTCTGGTAATTCGTTGACTCTTTTAGTTCATTGACAAAGTATGACAATTCTTTAAATTCTGGTAATTCGTTGACTCTTTTAATTAATTGACAGATTATGGCAATTTTATTTTTATAAATTCAGGTAGTTCGTTGACATATTTGGGTAATTCAGTGACAGATTGTGATAATTTTCTTCATAAGTTCTAGTAATTGATTAACATGTTCTGATAATTCTTTAATATGCTCTAGTAATTAATTGACAGATTCCAGCAATTTATTGATAGATTATTATAATTTTCAAAAGAAAATTCAGGTAATGTATTGACCGATTTTGATCATTGACATATTAGGGTAATTAAATTATAAATTCAATTATAAATACAATATTTATACCGACTTTAGGTTACCAGTGTCAGACTTGGACATTGACAAAGGAACACTAGAGAAAACTAACCCTCTTTGAAATGAGATGTTTTAGAATGGTTGTGAATAAAAACAGAAGAGATCTTGTGAGAAACGACGTGATCACAAGAACCGTTGGAACAACACCATCTTCAAATTTATTGAGAAACAAAGAATGAAATAGTTTAGCCATCTAATGGCAGTGAAATCAACGATACCAGCAGCAAGAGCGTACAACCTGAAAAAAAAAACACAAAGAGGCAGGGGAAGACCTAGAAGAATATGGATTGAAGCAGTCACTATCATCTTGAGACTTTACAACATTACTGCAGATCAAGCGAACGAGCGCTCCCTGGTTCGACTACTAATCGTCTGTTGAACTGCGACGCCTAGCGGCATAAGCAGACATTCACAAAAGAAGAAGATTGATCAATTCTGGTAATTTATTGATATATTAAAGTAATTCACTGAGCGATTCTGGTGTTTCGTTGACAAATTAAGGTAATTTTGGTAATGGTGACTACATCATCTTGCGAGTTATTACTACGTTTTTGAGCCAGTTCTTTGCTTCCTAAAATGTCTAGCTTGATTCACATTAAGTGAATAATCGAATACTTCATGTCTGAACAATCATTGATCCCTGTTATGAAGAAACCAACTAATCTGAAAATCCGACATTTAAATACGTGTTCTATAAAATTGAAATCTCCTGTTGTGAAATGTACCCCTTTTAACATTCCGTTAGTAGCTGAGAACAAGATACTAACGCCAACACAACACCGCACGCAGCCACAGTCTAGTCCTGCTTTGCCGTGTATCGTGAAAATAATCAGCGACGGAAAATTAGACGGAAATGTAATTAAAACTAGATCAATGGGTATCATAGCAAGCAATTCAGTATCTACATTTGGAGCATGGGCACGGCACTGAGGCACAAGAGCACCACAGAAACTAGAATGGTCAATGGAGAAGAAGATCAATAGCTAAAAGTATTCAAGGCACGCAATATTGAGGATGCTTGGGGCTAGATCTTATGATACCGGAGTCGAAAGCGCTAGAAAATAGGGGCTGAGGCCCCTTTTGGTCCCCCCCCCCCCAATATTCAGTGTGACAGACTCCTTCCTCCCCCACCCCCACCCCCCAAACTATCCAACACACAGCCCTTCCCCACACCCCCACCCCAGACACACACACACCCCACAGAGACCAACACACACTGCAAAACATGATTTTTGGGAAACTATGTAAGCCCTCTGTATCCATAGATTGAAATTCTCGTTGTATTTGTTTGTGCATTTGATAATAGTTGTTTTGGATAGAAATCACCACAACCGCCACATGACAGGTCTATAAGATGAAGAAAATCTGAAAATAGTATTATTTATTTATCCTTAAGCAAGGCATTATCATCATTATCTTCATCATCTTCATCTTTATCATCTTCATCCTCTTCATCACCATAATTATAGTTCCCTGCAACTAGGATTGGGAGTCGCCGTGGGGTAGCGGCTAGAAGCTCGCGTGCGGATCGGAAGTTCGTGGGTTCGCCCCCTGGTGGAGCCGGACATTTTTTCAACAACAAAAAAACCATGACTCCCAGGTCGACCCAGCCTTGAGTCGATACCGGGTGCACACCCGGGAAGTAAAGGCGGCCGCTGTGATTCTAACCACATCACCCGTCCTGCGTCGATTGGTGTAAAAAAATACAGATCTAGCCCTATATGCCCTATACGCATACAGACGTGAAAAAAGAGACCTTTTGTTTTAACCAGCAAGCATTTAGCTCACTGAGCGCGCCGTCTCTACCCCATCGGCATCGGCGCCCCTGTCCAGTATCTGCTGGGGAGCTCCACCAAGCGGACACGCCGTGCGTAACTTCCAATTTGGAAAACAGAAGGTGGCGTCATTTGATCTGGTTGTCGTTACAATGATGTCAGGAGGTAAGTTACAGGATCTCACGCTGGCTGCGGTATGGAGGATATGATGCATGCCTGCGCTTCACTGTCCAAATTAATGAAGAAATCCGCGGAGCTTAAAAGTAACTGATCTTTACAATGACGTTTAGATCTTCTTAATACATGGTGCTAGAATCATGCCGAGCTATTATGCAGAGATGCGGCACCGTGAGGGGGCGGGATCAGTGTTACCACTTCAGATGTTTTACATCCAGATTTAAATGTTTTCCCTAGCATTTAGATTACATGTTTGACGTTTAGATGGTAGATGTCTTTCTATATGTTTTTCATTTGGAGTTAGTTTATCAAATCTAACCTAAGAAACAGGATAAATTTGACCTCTTAAATGATATCTTGACAATACAGTTTTGCCTGATAAGAGTAGGAAAAGGCTGTTCGACTTATCAGCTCCCTGATTAGGTATTGAAAGCATACCAGTCATTTTGGATCTGAAGCTTTAACTTCATCATCCAAGGTAAGATTATCCTGTGGATCTTGTGAGGCAGACTTCAGTAAAGTTGAGGAAATGATTCCATAGGAATCTAAATGCTATGTAATTTGTGACTTTCTATTTGGATGTATTTTCTAGATGTTTTCCACGTAAATTTAGATGTTTTTAGATATTATTTGACTACGTTTTGGATTTTTTTTGTCAAAGAAAAGTGGCAACACTGGGCAGGATAAGCAGCGAAATCAAACTACAGTTTGAACATTCAGGGGGCAGCATATCGAAAACTAGCATCATGCTGTACAATTCTACCTGACGTCCCTGCATGGAGGTATAATGTTTTCAGTGAGACAATATCAAACAGAAAAAGGGCAAGAATAGCAATTTAATTGTACATGGCGCAGACTATCTCCTCGAAACGACTGTTTCTTCTTCTTCTTCGTGTTCACCAGCTGTAAACTGGTAGAAAGTTCTGGTTGTTCGTCCATTTCTAGACTGCAGTCATGTTCCAGATCCTGATTCCAGAGTTGTGGGTTTTAAGCTGTACGATAGACATGGCCGATAAGACACTTTTTTGGGGGGTGCCTAGTTGACCATGTTCTTAGTTTACTTGCATTCATGGCGAGGCGCAGTCGCCGTCTGGAGGTGACAGATTCAAATCCTGACACGGTAACTATAGCTTTCGATTTTTATGTTGCTAGTGTGTTCTTTTATCTATCCTTTTCTCTATGTGATTGCCGATCAATACACTTTCTGTTACTTGATTAATTCCAGATCCTGAGTGTTGCGTGTGCATTCATTTTTCGGATCTGACTCATTTGAATGCAGACTGCTGGTGTTTTTCCTCTCAGGCAGATGCACTCCGACTTTGAAGGAAGCTCCTAATTAGTCGACTCTTGCTACATGCGCTCGGGTAGGTAGTGGGTCTATTCTTGTTTTCCCTATAACAGGGCTCCTGATCCCACACTGGGAAAACGACTGTTTGATCAGCTAGCTTGGTAGCAGACACGAACTTCCGTAGCGCTATCGACAGCTCTCGAGTATCTACGAAACACCTGCACTCGCGAATTACGACAAGCCATCTGCCAACTGCGTCGCACAAGGCACACATTCCGTAGCTTCAGTGACAATTCTTGGGGAGCCCCATGAACAAAGATTCTGTGACACGAACTTAACGATCTTAGGAGCGCTAGGTGAGATGTTTAAGCATTTCAACGTGAAGACCAACAATGGTGACATCAGCAGGTACGCCGACACAAAGAAAACAAAGAGGAGGGAAGAGAGGGGTCGCGGAGGCACTCAACCTCTTTTTTTTTTCACTCCAGATACGATGTTTCACAGCTTTCATGGGGAAATTAAAAAAATAAAAAAAGAATTTGCACCAAAGTGCCATATCTTAGTTAAAAGCGTAATAAAAATATTAATATTAATAATAATAATGTGGCTATTGGTAAACAAAAATATAATAATAAGAATGATAGGGCGGAATCTGAAAGTTCCTAAGCCAGTAGGTTGTAGAGCCTATCGATGTTCTTAGGGGGCTGCGTGGTCCCTTGGCCTCGAATGCTAGAGGTTCCAGGTTCAATCCCCGGTAAGGGCTGGGATTTTTTCACGTTGACTTAGACTTCTATTAAATCCTCCCGGTCTCTGGGTTTGTGAGATTGGAAGTCCATGTGCATTGATGCCCACGTAAAAAAATATCATTTGGTAGTTGGAAATCGAAGAGAGTAGCCCAGCTGCGCTGTCTGGGCAAAATTTAGTGTTAAATATCTACCCAAAGTATTGCAGGATCCTCGCCAGTGCTACAGAGCCTGTGCACTGTGATGAGCTTCTTCGGACTCAGACTTAAGTTAGAAGAAGAACGGAGCACTTATGGGTTACTACTCGTGTGCCATGATGTTGATCCGTTGTTCAAAACCTCAAATTGATGTACTTGAGGCTGTCAATGACTGAAGAATTAGATTAACGATTATATGAACCTAACAGAAACAGCCACCCCTCCCTAAAAAAAAAAAAAAAACTAGTTTGCCGGTAGCAAGATAAAAGCCACACTGAATGTAAGGTTACATTCTGCCTTGTCCCATAAGCAATTAAACTTCCGGTCACGTGGTGCTCCTATGTGACCGCAGACAATCCCGCGTGATCGTCACCAGACAC